TTTTTCCAATAATGATGATAATAGAGATAAAAATAGAATTAAATTAGAAAAAAACATTATAGACAATGATTAATGATGATTTAGTTTATGTATAAACTTTTAAATTTTTTTTGGTAATAATAATACAATAATAATAATCAATAGCTTTTCTTCTATTTGAATTTAATAATTAAAGTGAATCAAGTCTTCTTTAATTGAATCTTCTAGTGCAGGCATAACTACAGGACTTTCCATGAATCACAAAAGTTCTTTGCTAAATCAGCAGGATTATCATTAAGATGAATATAATGGTTTGTGAATGACCATTCTCAAATTCAATATTAATTATTTGCTACGTTTATGTTTATCAATACATCTTGGTGTTTTTTCTAATGTTTGGTCATTTGTCAACTCTATCATCAGTAGATGGTGTGAGAATAGTGTTGAAAATGATGGTGGTGAGGAAGATTGGTTCCAATATGGAGGATATAGAGTTGAATTGAATTCTTGAGGAATAAAAGATATATTACAATTGCCTTGATATGATTTGACTTTGCTTGAAGTTGTCTTATTATTTTAGCAGATTTTGATTTTGCACTTGAGCTATTGCCATTTATTATTATTTTCATCAAGGTTATTCTTATTTTTATTCTTGTTGTTATTATTTTTTGTTTTAGATTTTGAAGTATTTGTATCATTTTGTTTTGGCTTACTTTTCCAATTAGAAGAATCAGTGATATTTTTGATTGATAAGAATGATTCTGATTATTTTGAGATGAATTACCTCTCTTATGATGATTTTTTATTAGGAATTTTTTTCATTGTATTTCTAACAAAGTTTTTCTCATCAGCTGGAATAAAACTTTTTCCTTAGTGATGTAATTAAACTGTGCCTAAACCACCTTTTCTTATTTTTATGCCAGGATTAGCAAGAGAATGCCATGATTGCAGCAGTTTTTACATTCACAGTCTTTAAACAAAATTCTTTTCCAGGTTTTTCATCTGTTGAGGAAGAGAATTGCTGAAATCGGTTGATATAATAATTGTTGCTGTAGTTGATAGCTGATAATGATGGTGATAGATGTTATATTATAATTGTTGATTTGCTGGGTGTTAGATCAATTTAGTCGTCATTCTTGTAGTTGATATTGATGTGTGCAGCCATTTGTTGTTGAATTTATAGTATGTATACTATTAATGGTCGAAGTTGAGGTTGTTACAGGTTTGTCTAAGCAGTTTGTTGCAATTGGCTGTACTGTATTGTAATTGTGATATAGATTGTAATTGTGATGGTGATAATTAAGGTGGTCAATGCATAAGTATTTATTATTATAATTATTATTGTTATACCATGCATTTTTAATAATTACTATCATGATCGTCCGTACCATTCTAATACCATCGGTGTTATATATACTTCTTTCAGAACTCCAATCTAACAAACCTAAGGATCGCACTTGGAGCAGCAATGTTTTTCAAGCTAGTATTTACATCATTTATAGCACCAAATTGTTTAACGCCACACCCACCACTATCTTGATGCAATCTGCTTGAATCTAATCTTGTGTTGAACTATTATTGTTGTTCACATCATTCCGTCCATTCCTTGTTAAATTCTACATAATGTTCTTTATGAATAATATAAAATTTTGCGTAAGGTGAGTTTCTTCTACCTTTAAATATATACAATAATAACATAATAATAATAATAATACTTGATAAACATGAGAACCGCCTTCATTTTTTGAGACACAAATACTATGAAGGTTAATATAGACTATACAAGAAACATTTGAATTAATATCAATATTTTCCTATGATGGAATGATAGCGTTAAACCTAGAAATTGTAAAGATGGATTTTAACAATTAAACCCTCCATGATATAAATCCGCATTTAATTTTGTAACATTACAGTGCGGATCATCTATACTCAAAAGTTAAAATTTTTGAAATATTATGTGATCCACACATTGGATTTTAAAAA